GTAGTGGGGGACCGCCATGAACTTGGCCAAAGCAGGTCAGCCAAGCAACGCATGGTACGGGCTTTCGAGGTCCACCACTTCAAACCAAACTGGCTCTCGACGGAAATGATCTTTGTCTCCAAAGAGGACATCTATCAGGATCTTGCCGATTGGTGAGCAGGAAAGGCCAGGAACAATGCCGTGGAACACAGTCCGGGTGCTCTGAAGCTGTCTTTGCTTGATTCCTAACTTCTCCATGGTATCCTTGTACAGAATGTTGATGCTACTACCTCCGTCTATCAGCACTCGAGAGAAGCGAGCGGCCCGCCTGTCTGTGGCAAAAGTGGCACCTAAGACCAGGGCGTAGGAGCCCGGACTCGGCATCACCTCTGGGTGATCAGCTCTGCTCCAACTGATAGGCTTCTCGGACCAGTGCATGTACTCTGGAGTACTTGATGCTATTGCATTCACCTCTTGTTGCTGCTGCCGCCTGCTGCATCGATCGTCAGCCACACTGGTGAACACCACGTACGCTCCGTGCTCTTCTGGGTACTCGTCTTGTATTGTGCCGACTGGCCTGGCTGCCGGCTGCTGGGGCGGTGGTGGAGGCGGTGGCCCAGCAGGCGGAGGAGGCAGGAGGCCGTCTCCCTTGGCGATTCTGGTGAGCTAGTGGCATTTCCGGGTGGTGTGATTCGACGGCTTCGTGCCGCTGTGGAACTTGCAGGGGCCGTCTAGAGTCTGCTCGTAGGAGAAAGTCGGCTGCCAAGCCGGCCTGCCGCCCTTCTGCTTCTTCGGAGCCGACTGTCCCTCAGGCTGCTCTTCTTCGATCGTGGCCACCTGCCGACTGCTGGAAGCCGGCTGAGGGGCTTTGCGCTTGTGATCGTTTTGATACGGGCGTTGGCTTGATTCTCCAGCCGGCGTCTTGGGAGCCGGCGTCAGCACTTTTTCGGAGGCGTCTACCCGGAGTTCGGTCTTCATTGAGGAGTCGGCCGTGGCATACTTGTCTGCGATGACCAGTAGCTCGTCAATGGTTACTGGTTCGCCGCAAAGGAGTCGGTGCTTGAGGAGAGTGCCTTCGCGGCACCCGGCGATGAAGTACTCTATGGCCTGGACCTCGTGTACTCCTTCGCAGGAGTTGCAGAGCTCGGCCCAACGCGTGAGGTAGTCGCGGGTCGATTCGCTGGGCCCTTGTACGCACAAGGAGAGCTGTCGGGGCTTGGGAGCCCGCTTGTATGTGTTGGTGAAGTTGCGTATGAAGGCTTCGGTGAAGTCTAGCCAGCTGTTGATGCTGTAAGGCTTGAGGCTGTTGAGCCAGGTGCGCACCGTGCCTTGGAGCATCAGGGGGACATATTTCACGACAACGCGTCGATTGCCATTCGCTATGCGAACGGCGGTGGAGTAGTCGATCAACCAGTCTTCCGGCTTCACGGAGCCGTTGTACTTGGGCGTGTCTCTTGGGAGCGAGAACCCTTTGGGAAAGGGCTCGTCACGGATGCGGGGGCCAAAACACGGCGGGCCGACATCATCTTCTTCTTCCAGGGCCAGGGATCGCGCTAGGCGGTCGATCCGATGGCGGGCATCATTCTCGCCGACTCCTTTGCGGCGACCAAGTCAGCCGCTGAGAGTCGGATGCTCGACAGGCGGCGGGGTAGGATATCTTTCCCCGCGAGGCGGAGGAGGCGGCAGGTCGCCTCGTCGCTCCACTCCTCGGGGGCGGCCTTCTGCGTCGCGCTCGATGGTAATACGAGTCCGGCTGTGGCTAGCAGCCGGCTCCTTCTCTTGTCTTGCACGGGTGCCACCCGCAGTCGGCGTACACGATGTCGCGTCGTGCTCTCGGTGAGGGGGGCTTCCAGCTCGGACGTCGGCTTCATGCCGGGTTGCAGCCGCATCGATCAGCTGCTAGATGCATCTGGTTATGTAGGGGAGCTCGTCGGCCCCCAGTCCGTTTAGCTCATCAACGATCGACTGGGCGGCGCGTAGGTTCTCGAGGGGCGTGGCGTAGACTGGGTGGTCTGCTCCCAGCATGTTGGCGATGGTCGCGCCGCGTTTCTTGACGACGCCGACTCGGCCTGGCCCTTCTGGAGGCGGCATGCCGAAGGCGGCGCGGTCAACTTCGCGCTGGTGGGCCTCCGTGAGGCATCTCATGGTGGCAATCTTTTATCCCTCCGCAAGGAGGGCAAGGCGGCGTGCCTCCAGCGCTTCGGTGTCAGCGTCCGCCGGGATGGGAGCGGACAGATCGTGCAAAGTGGCCTGTAGAGCGTCGCGGGCGTTCTCGTCGGAGGCGGCGCCGTGGCTGATGACGAATACTTCGGTGACGGTGCTGCCACCACTGTCGGCTCGTGGGAGAGAATCGTCGAAGATGATCACGTCAGAGGGGAAGGCGTCGAGCGACGCTGTGTCGGAATCAACAAGCATCGGGTCGGTGGAGCCGACCGACTCCAAGTCCGCGGTAGGCTCGCCGGAGACGTGGAGTTGGTTGAGGAGGCTGACGAGGCGGCTCTCGGGGCAGCCTGTGCCCGCATCGGATGCAGGCTCGTCGGAGATGCGAGCCTCGCCAAGAAGATCGGCAAGGCAGCTCGCTGCGCAGGCGTCGTTGACGCTTTGCAGCGCGTCGGGGCAAGAGCCATCAGGCGTGCCGAGCTGGCTACGCTCGCTAGGGAGGAAGAGGGTTCCCGTCCAGAGCAGGTCTCCGGACGGCTGTGCACCAGGCCCCATGGTGGGCGCCAAATGTCGGGGATTGGGTGCGACATATGCCAAAGGATGGCTTATCATGGTGGGGGCGAGTAGAACGTCGCCGGTGCCTGGAAACGGGATGAAGCGAAGACATGCACGCCGGCGAATCTTACCCGGCTTCAGGGCTCTCCGTGGAGATAACACCCCTACTACTACTCTGCGGGGTCTCCGCATGATCACTAAGGCAAAGTGAGTACAAGGTCGCTCCTTGAGCTGTTTCCTGGAGGTAGGAGAAGGTGAGGCTAGCTCCCTCCTTCCTATATGATCTGGTCTAGTCTAAAGGGGGCGATCCCCCTTGCATGGGTGCCCCGGAGGGCCTATATAGGCCCTCCCCCAGGGATACAATGGTAATCCGGTTGGGTGTGGGTCCCAGCCGTTTGTCTCTTAGGCTGCCGTCTTCTCCGCCGACTGCTGGGGCCCGCCGACTGGCGGGCCCCGTCGACAGACCTGGTACTGTAGCCGTGCTTCTAATGACGTTGGCTTGGTCATGGGGTCATGGCAACAATGCCGCCGCCTGACGAACGATCACTGTTGCCATTCCCCGTCTTGTCTGGTTAATGGCGTGTGGGGCCCGTGGGAGGGGCCGGCCGACTCCCGGGGGCCGACTCCCGACGAGTCCGTCTTGTGGCGCTCTTGCCGTCTTCTGTACCCCCACTGACGAGTGGGACCCGCCGTCTCTGGGTCGTACAGGCAGGCCGTCGTGGGCACAGTGGGCCGCCCATGGGGGCTGAGGTCAGGGCAGGCATGGCAACAGTGCCGCGCCGGATGGAGATCTCCACCGATACGGCGCACTGTAGCCATGCCGGCCCTTCGTAGGCAGGAGGGGGATGGGCCACGCGGCGACCGTACCCCGTCCCGTCCATCGTGGTGAAGGCAGGAGGTGGTTGGAGTCGCGGGCCGACTCCCCATAGCCGGCTTCTCTAGAAGCCGCCAATAGGAGTTGGCTTATCTCGAAGTCGTCCTTGGGACTCGGCCATGAGGGATAGTCGGCGGCCTTGCCGCCGACTCCCATAAGGCGGCTTCTTATCGCGGAGTCTTGAGGGGCGCAGCCTGCCCCGATGTTTTGAAAGGTTCTGGGGCTCGGGTTAGCCTACCCGTGGCCCATTACCCCGACACAATTACATAATAATTTAAGTCCACTTAACTTTGTAATGTAAAGTGATAACAAAAATAGCACATTAACAATGTATACATATAAGGGATGATCCAACTAAAAATCTATTAAAAATTACTGAGATATACTTGATGCACTTAACAAATTTTGATACTTCTATGTCTCTTTCTCCGTCTTCTTTCATCTGGCAGAAACAAACGTGCTAATAATATGTACCTTTTCACCCGCCCTATATCATAGATGATCATGAGCCAGCTGTAATTCCACAATGGCCATAATATATATGTTTTACGATATTATATATTTTTTATATTATTAATTACAAAGTTTATGCAATTGGTCTTACACCATCCTGTAAGAATATACCATCCTTCATAAAGCATTCCAAATCGTCATTTGATAACAATGCATCTTCAATGTCCACGAACTTGGTTTTCTTGGGGCAGACATGATTGATTCGATGACTGCAATATCTCTACGGTTACAAATATAGTCTATCGTCATGATACAAAAATGAGCCAAATTTGTATTAAAATGAGACAAATTGGTTGAATACAAAAGGCAATATGATGAAAGAAAGATCGATAAACATTGAAAAGAATACCTTGTGCGATAACATTTAAATTTGCATACTTTTTTGTTTTTTATGAGATATCACCGCCTCCACATCATTATGTTGTGAAAAACTCGGTGAATTTTTGGCCCTTTTTAGCGTCGCCCTTTTCCAACATAAACCAAGTATACTTTGTTTGTTCACTCAAAATTGTGTTTTTTGTGTGATATTCTGAATAATGGAATAAGTATAAAAAAGATTTATTTGGATGATCCATGTTTCATTAATATATCTATATCCCTTTTTACTTTAATATATACTATTTTTTTGTACATCATTTTTTAAGCATTTGTTTTCTTACAACAAGGGTTGCTGATCCAAGGCCTCAAGAAGCCCAATCCCACTCGCATCATGGGCCAACCAGCACCCACCAACTCCTTCTCCTCACTCTCTCCACTCCCAATTCTCAAAAAAAAACTCTCTCCACTCCCTTTCCTCAAAAAAAAACTCATGCACACAATCCAGATCACGGCGGAGTCACCCACACTCCCTCCGCTCTCGCCCCCACAGCCGCACAACCGACGGCCTCGTCTCCCACCGCCGCCGCCGCCTCTCCCTCGCATGCCTCGCTGGCACCTCTCCCTCACCCGCATCACCGGCGCCTCTCCCTCTCGGGCCGTTGTTGCCTCTCCGTTGGCCCAGTCGTTGTCGCCCCTGATGTGCCGTGGCACCGTGACCCGGCCTCACAGGCACGACCAGGGTGACAACAGCTCCCCGACGCCGCCGCCCTCCGCAAGGAGCAACGACAACTCGAAGCTCTGCGGCACGGCATGCTCTGAGCGATGCGCCGCGGGGGCACCGCCGCCTCAGCCACCGGCGTGGCCGACCACCCGTCCACGTCCCCATCGCTGCCGCCGGCCGGCCACACGACCTCACGCTCGTCCAGCTCGAAGCACGCGCCATCGTGGCCCGCCTCCGGCTGCTTCAGCAGGCCAAGAAACCGAAACGCCCCCCGCGCCCGGCGACCTCGGCATCTCCATCGACCGTCTCAGCAAGCGCTACCTCGCCCGGCTCCCGCATTGCTGATGGTAAGCCCCTCCTTTGCTCTCTTGGCCTGCTTGCTTGCTTGCGAGCCCCTCCTCTGAATTTGTTGGTTGGTTGCTTTCTTTCTTCAGCAAGCCAAGAAACAGGGAGTGCCGGCAGTAGTACTCTAAATCCATCAATGCAACTGAATCCAAACATGTGAATCAAGTTGTGGCAGGTATCTCTGCATGCTTAATTCACTCAATTTTTTGTGCAGTAGGAGTAGTTGCTAGAAATTTACTGAATTTTGTTTCCAGTAGATGCACTGAATTTCAAAGAAAGAGTACTCTAGGAGTACATGGAGTTGATGCACTGAATTTTGTTTGCAGTAGATGCACTGAAATTTACTGAATTTTGTTTGCAGTAGGAGTACTTGCAGTTCTGAACTGCTAGGTGTACTTGTGGAAGCACTTCGCTGGTGCGCCGTATCTGATTGATTTGCAACTAAATTCTAGCCACTATGAATTCTGAGTCTGAATGCACATCAAGGAGTATTTTTAAAAAGTACGGCAAGGAGTAGCATCTACATGTTTAAAAAGCAATTCAGCTTGATTTCTGTGTGTATCCATATGCCCAATCCCGCTCTAATTCAGCCTACTCCCATCTCTAGATAAATAACAGAATAATCTGTGAGTACTGTTATTTCACAATACACTGCCAATTTTCAGCACCAAACCAGGAAAATTATGTCAAACGATTATGGCCTGAATTGTGACAGTACTGAAAGCATGCAGACATGCCTAAAGGTTAAGTGTTTCACTACTGCACTGGGATTAAAGATTCAGTTGTTTTCTAGTCTAGTGACACTGTCATTGTAGTTTCAGTAGAAATGACCTTCTTCCTAATTAGTAACAGAGATGAAAGTTTATATAGTTGTGATATTTTTGGTGTAATATTATTGTTTGCATGCTTATATATTTTTGTTTTCTGCATGTTCAGAATTGCATGCTTTGGGGCCGCATCATAAAAACTCATCTAATGTAGAACACTCCAGTGGAGTCTAGTTTTACAACAACGGAGTGACCCAGGCAGTGTGCAAAATTTGTGCAGGAAAACAAAGCCAAGTTTAGATGTAGTAGATGATTGATTACAAAACAACAAAAGAATAATATACATAAGCAATCCAGCAAAAGGGAAAATAATGTCACATACAACAAAAAATGGCAACTTGCAAAGTCACAAATCCAAGGCAATATTATTAATATTTGACTTGTTGTATAAACATAATAAGGTTTAATTGCTAACATCGAAAGATAAGATATCTGTACAAGAACACCGAAGAGCACCAACTTATCTGTAGCATAAGAGTAAATCCTCTGTCATATTTAAGAGCGGACTTCAGCCTGTAAGGACTTCCTTATAGACGATGTTCTTCATCAAGGTTTGTAAGGACAAGGTAGGTCTTTTTCGCTTCTTTGATTTACTGCTTTGCTTCTTGCCATTCTCCTTGTCCTTCTCCTTCTCAATGAGGATCTTTATATTTCTCTTCACGGTGGCTCGAGACAATGCGACATAGAGTTGACCATGAGAAAACACCGGATTAGGTAGGTACACGCCAACAATCGGAATCGTCTGTCCTTGAGCCTTGTTAATCGTCATAGCAAAGCTAAGCTTTACAGGAAATTGCTTCCTCTTGAACTTGAATGGAAACATTTCGTTGTCAGATGGGCATATGGGTATTCGAGGAAGGAATACCCTCCTACCTGTGTGTTGTCCGATCACGATTTCTGCGTCGATGGTGTTCCTCTCGAAACCTTGCACCACAAGCCTCGTCCCGTTACACAGACCATTAGCCGGATCAATGTTCCTCAGAAGTATGACAGGGCAGTTGAGCTTTAGTTTGAGTGCATGCGGAGGCAGACCGTTGGGAGTCAATCCATTTAGGAACTCAGGAGCATAGTAGCCATATGGGTCGTCTTCTGCACTGTCAAAGCTATGGTAGATTACTTCTTCCCCCCGAAAACGCTCTACCATGCGTATGTTTATCTTGTCGATGTTGTCGTTCGTGGTGGAGAGGATTGCGCGTGAAGTCATGTAATTCGGATCAGACATGTTGTCATCTAGTCTCGAAAACACATGGTCAATCAACTTCTCCAAGTCGTCACTCTCACCTATAGACGGCACACAAATATCTTCAGGGAGTCGTATGTTTCCTTGATCGTCAACTTCCTCAGTACCATTGCCGACCCTTAGCAAGTAATTTGCAAACCAGGTGTCATTATGAGCCCTCATGTTGGTGACGAGCCTTAGCTGGCGCATACCCTTCCAGAGATGTGAACTTCGGAGGGTTGCATCGATTATCTGACCCCGGGACCCCCTCCTGACAACTGGAAGCACTTGCCTGAAGTCCCCGCCAAACACAACAGTTTTTCCTCCAAAGGGTCGGTCCCGTCTTCCCATGATGTCGTGCATGCTGTTGTCGAGTGCCTCGACCGCCTGTCGCTTAGTCATGGTGGCCTCGTCCCATAGTATCAATGAGGCCATCCTCAGTAGCTTGGCGGTACCACTCTGCTTCGTGAAGGTGCATGAGGCGCCATCGTCGCAGCTCAATGGGATCTTGAACCTCGAGTGGGCAGTCCTGCCTCCAGGCATGATAGAAGCGGCGACACCTGACATTGCGCAGTAGCGACAACGATGTTTCCCTCGCTTCAAACCTTGGCGAGCAGCGCCCTGTACGGGAAGGTCTTCCCTGTACCTCCCGGGCCATCAACAAAGAACACACCCCCATCACCACGTTCAACATCAGCTAGTATCTCATCGTATGCAGCCCTCTGCTCCAAGTTTAGCGACGATGCCAATTTAGTGCCGTTGATGTCAAAATCGATGTTGGATTCCTCGATCACTTCTCTGGCCTCGCCCTTGTTTGGGTCGAACGCATCGTCAATGCATGGAAGAGCGAAATTAGCTATGTCTTTGCCCATGGACTGCAACATACCCCTAATGTCAAGCAACACCATCTGTTCCACCTCAATCGGGCACGAGTGTGATGGCCGATAGTCATCAGACATACGCTCGAAGTGCCTATCCCATAAACCACGCACCTCGCCTGGCTCACATCGCACCAAAATTGTTGCGAAGAGCCTCCTGAGCGAACATGGCATCGCCCACTGCTCTGCCTCGGTAAGGCAGTCGTCGAGCATGTTATCTGCCTCGACGAGTCCCAACCTTTCGGTAGCCTCTCTAAAGCTCCCGCATAGCCTACCGTCCATGGTGAGCATGTCCTCATAGGATGTCTTGCCAGCAACATGGTTTAGCAGCACACGCAGATAGTATCGCTCCCCCTCGGCAGGATTGGCAGACACAATTCGACCTATCTGATAACGCTCCACCCGCTCTTTCCAATACTTCTTACCCTTCTACCATGTGAACCTTCCAGGAAAATCCTTGTACAATATATTCCTAGCCCACGGGTGGTTTTGGTTAGCTTTGAAATACTCTGTCAACATGGATTTGGAAGCATTCTCAGAGGCGACTACGTCGGTCAAGTGAGCTTGCTCATTGAATGCCACCTTGTGCATATTCGGGAGATGAAGAGGCAACTATAGGATAGGCGGGTCATTGGCACACAAGGGGAAGCCAAATATCTTCCACATCGCCTCTGGAGGAGTAACCCACCTCGCGTCTACGTATCTTTTGATCTCATCAATGTTACCATCAGCGTCGGGTTGGTCGATGCTGAAAGAAGCCCTATCATGGCCCTTGTATATGTACTTGTAAAGGTATTTGACGGCCTTTATGCTGGAGCAAACCTCAACGTTGTTGTGGCAATTGAACATATGCAGAAGGTAAGGGTTATACGGCACAACCCATCTGTTGTCCAACATTTTACCCCGGACCTTAGCCTGACGACCATTATCTCGACGACGATAAACAGGGTATGAGTCCTTGCCCTGTGCCGTGTTTTCATTGAACGGTCGCGGGTATCTGCACTTGCACTCGTTCTGTTGCATGCACACATTTGTGGGGTTGAGAGCATCGCATGGTCCATGCATCATATGTTTCACCACCAAGGCGTGGAGTTCAGGATACTTCTGCTTGTCTGGGAGTTCGGCAGAAATAAGTCGGTCGTACTGCTCCGGAACGACAAGCTTATAGGCAGAATCCATGATCAACAAAAAGTGTGCGTGGGGGAGGCCCCTCTTCTGGAACTCGACTACGTATACATGTGCGACAACAACACCCAGGATATTCTTCTTGAACAACAGCTCTTTCATAGCCTCTAGCTTGCCATGGAACACACGAGCCACAAGATCAGGTCGGTCTTGCGCTGTCTGACCAGGAAACAACTCATTTCTTATCTCTTCCCAGTTAGGGTTGCAGGTCATGGTCAAGAAGATGTCAGGCTTTCCGTAGGTATGGACAATTGCCATGGCATCCATATGCCTTCGTTTCATGTCGCGGTCGCCACCTGGGTACGTTCCAGGGAGCACTATCCTTACTCCAACAGCGCTTGCCCGGGTCTCTCCGGATGTAATTGCATCAACAACTCCTTTATACAGGTCGGCGAAGATCTTTGTCTGGTTCTTCCTGTACCATTTGAACCTACAACTCTCAATCTTGATGTACATGTCCACCCCCCCATTGCTGGAGCAATCGTGCTCCACAGAGTATGGGATTGAATATCCCAGGTCATGTCTGCAGCATGTAACAGTAGTAGTCTCTCACCGAGACGCATAACCTGCTATTCCCCTCTGCACATGGATGAGTAACGCGGAATTTAGGATTCATATGAGAACTATACAATTCATCAAAACGACATAATACGCATAAGGCTTACCTGCATCATCATCATCATCATCATCATCATCACGTCCACCTCTTGGTTGTTGCACAACCGGCCAAGGGACATCACGTTTAGGTAGTTTCGGGTGCCAACCGAGCTCGCCCCTTGGGTAGAAGAGTGGGTAAGAGAGCGGGTCATATGAGCCAGCCGTCACATGTATACTGTGCCTCTGGTTGTCATTCCCGCAAAGTGTAATCCTACGATCGAACCTCTTCGCTAG